TAAATATATGTAAATTTTAGAGAAATTTATTTGTAAACATGAAAGATATTATTGATGTAAAAAAAAAAATTTGTCAGGATCGAGCAATGCGGTTTGCAGGCTTTTTGTTGGTTTAGAGAAAAGGAAAAAACGTTATCAAAAAAAAAAAAAAAAAAAATCGCTTGCACGGGCGGGGACACCTCCGGAGACATCATCGTGTCTCCATCCAAGTGGATGGAGGCATGGTGCTTGAATGGAGGCAAACCATGCCTCCATTACTTGTATGGAGGCAGGAACCATGCCTCCGTCCACTTGCACATGCCTCCGTCCAAGTAATGGAGCCTCCATTACTTGGACGGAGGCATGGTTACTTGGACGGAGGCATGGTGCCTCCGTCCACGAGAATTAGGTTCTTCTTCACTCGATAAAAGGACTATCCCCAGAGAGAGATAGACGATGGTGCCTCCGTCCATTACTTGGACGGAGGCATGGTTACTTGGACGGAGGCATGGTGCCTCCGTCCACGAGAATTAGGTTCTTCTTCACTCGATAAAAGGACTATCCCCAGAGAGAGATAGACGATGCACAGATTTCACAAGAAAAGCTAACACATGAGATTAATGTGAGAGAGAGAAAGGTCAAAAATATTTAAAATTCTTGGAAAATAGATCACAAGATATCATTCAAAATACTCAAAAAAAGAAAAATCTTTCTTGCTGATCTGCATTTAATGATATACTTTAAAAACAATTCTAAATACCCATTTTTCAGTGAAATCTGAAACGAGAAAAGTATCTGACTTTAACCAAAAGAGCTCAAAAAACACATAATTGATAATTGATGAAAAAACTCATATACCGATACGAAAATTCAAAGTTTCAGATTACCTTTATTTCTTCACCACAGAAATCAAAAACACAATGATCAATTTTAAAAAAATCCAAGGTAGTTTCGCCTAAAACCCCGCCATTTCCGCATCAAGCAAAGCCATATTATAAAAAATCTCAATACCATGTAGCCTACAATAATCAATTTTATTCTTTATAGACTTCAACAAGTAATGCTCCCCCCACAGGATTCTCACATGGCTTCGGGGATGACCCAGTAACTAACAACACTCTGGGCTTATTAGGAGCAATAAAATTCGGGAAATTTGGGTTGTTTTTCAACCACTCACCTCTTTGCTGATCCCAATCTGAAATCTTTGGACCGAGGCTGTACGGCTGTGAAGGATCACTCTTAAATTCTTCAATCCCATCATCTTCGTCCTTCAAGATCTTTCTTATATCAAATTCTGCATAATTGTTACTCCCATTTTCTCTACTATCACTTGCCGTACTGGATTTTTGAACAGTCTCCGCCTCTTCCAGCACACGGCGAGGTTCCGACCGGCGGCGGATGTAAGAAAACGTTTCCCGGATCTTGTCAAGGTCCTTTTCCAGCGTGCCAAATTTTTCGGCGCCCAGATTTCCGCGCAAAACAATTACTGTAAGGAAAAGGCAAAGAAGTGTAAGCGTCCCATTGCGTATAAGCCTCTAAAATTGCCGCACACGGCGGGGGATGAGGACCCGATCTAGCATAATGGG